TGGAGGTATTTAAAAGACGAGTAGATGAGGCACTTAGGGACATGGTTTAGTGGACATGGTGGTGTTGGGTTGACGGTTGGACTCGATGATCTTAGAGGTCTTTTCCAACCTCAATGATTCTATGATTCTATGATTCTATGAACACCTTTTATTTAGCAGTTTCCTTAAAAAGTAAAAGTTTCCATTTCTAGGTGCTGCAAGTGCTTCAATGCCACCATAATACATGCAACATTGCAGAGCAAGGTAAAGCCTCTATGTAACATGTTCTGCATGTAAACTAGAGCCCTGCTGCCCACCCTCAGGTACTTTTAATGTGTGCTAGGATGAAACAAAAACCTCAGCTGTCAACATTTTTAAACAACCTAAAGGAGTGGGAGCTACTGGGAATCTCAAAATCTCTGCTAGCTATTTATATCCTTGTGAACTATAGCTGTGATCATGGGTTTGTAAGTACAGGATACCTCCAAAGTACTCAATATATTATTTTGCTACCCTGATTTCTTCTTCTCTTTCTACTAATTTAGAGTTTTTCTCACATCCAGGCTGCATGCAGGAATTACACTGGGTCTTTAACTGAGTAGCTTACCTGTCAGTAGTGACTGGAGGTAAAACCTTAGACACCTGCACACTAGCTTGGATTAGAGAGCACTCCCAAATCTGCATAGTAAAAACTATGCTCTTCCCTGGGAAAGGCTCATGTCTCTGCCTATTAATGCCAAAAGTCAGCTTTGCAGAGGGACAGATACAAGCTGTGGTCTCTGAGGGCAGGAAGTAGTGGTGGGAGAAAGAAGTTGCTGTAGCATTAACAGTAGTGAATGATTTACAATCTCAGAGCTAACTTCAAGGATAATAAAGAAAATTCTTTTTGCATGTAAACTAGAGCCCTGCTGCCCACCCTCAGGTACTTTTAATGTGTGCTAGGATGAAACAAAAACCTCAGCTGTCAACATTTTTAAACAACCTAAAGGAGTGGGAGCTACTGGGAATCTCAAAATCTCTGCTAGCTATTTATATCCTTGTGAACTATAGCTGTGATCATGGGTTTGTAAGTACAGGATACCTCCAAAGTACTCAATATATTATTTTGCTACCCTGATTTCTTCTTCTCTTTCTACTAATTTAGACTTTTTCTCACATCCAGGCTGCATGCAGGAATTACACTGGGTCTTTAACTGAGTAGCTTACCTGTCAGTAGTGACTGGAGGTAAAACCTTAGACACCTGCACACTAGCTTGGATTAGAGAGCACTCCCAAATCTGCATAGTATTTAGTATGCTCTTCCCTGGGAAAGGCTCTGCCTATTAATGCCAAAAGTCAGCTTTGCAGAGGGACAGATACAAGCTGTGGTCTCTGAGGGCAGGAAGTAGTGGTGGGAGAAAGAAGTTGCTGTAGCATTAACAGTAGTGAATGATTTACAATCTCAGAGCTAACTTCAAGGATAATAAAGAAAAATTCTTTTTTTAAAAAAACAGAAAAGCACAGAAAAGCCTCAGAGTCACAGGGGCATGACAAAAAAGAAAAAAAAAAAAAAAAAGAAAAAAGAGGCTTCCTCTGTCCCAAAGACTTGATTTTGGCAACATCTTACTGTTTAACACTCTTCCAGTTATATATAGAAAATAGCACATCTACTATCCACCCAGAAAGCAAGTAAAGGATAACAGTTTCCAGA